CCCCAAAACCCCAAAACCCCAAAACCCCAAAACCCCTTTTCAAGCAAAGAATATTGACGTCCTTTAATAATATTAGATTTCAAATGCATCAAACGTTTCACGACACCTCAAAAGGTCAATACTGTACCCTCCTAAAGATAAGCTGAATCCTCACACAATGGAAGAATACCTTCTGAAGCTGAGACCTAGACTACACACAAGGCCTCAAGATCTTGGATGCCCTACAGGAGTCCTCAGATTTGTTCTGAAAATGTCCGGGGGAAGCCTCCTCACTAGTATTGAATGGTCAGCAACCCAAAGTGACCAACAAAGATCTTGTGGAGGAAGAACAAAAAGTTATGCAGAAGAAATATGCATCTAATCCTTCGGAGTCGACTGATAAGGAACTTGAGATCCTCAAAGAATGAGAATATTCATTACGTTATGACCCTGTTGGGAACACAACAAGGACAAGAAGGATCGTCATTTGAGAGTTTGAAAGCTGCAAAAAGGAGTTCATTAAAGCATGGAATTTCTTAGACCATTATCGCATGCATCAAGGAGTTCGCCCCTTTGTCTGATCAGTCTGTTCCAAGAACTTCACCCAAAAAGGCAACCTCAAAAAGCACATGAGGCAGCATATTAATAAGAATGTTAAGGACAGAAAGATCCATAAGTGCCACCTGTGACCAAAGTCCTATACCGAGAGATACAACTTGAGAGTAAGCACTAGTTTTTGCTTTTTCTTTCCATTTCAAGCTTCTTCATTTTTATTAAAACAGATTTTACGTAACTGGCTACAGCCTTACGATAAATAAAATACGAATCTTTCATTATAGTCTCACTATGAAGTCAAACATCCAGGTTCCTGAATGATAAGCGAAAGTTCAAAAATGCCTACAAAACCCTAAACCGGTTTATTTTGTAGGCCAGGAATATAGGATTTAAATTTCGATATACTAATTCCTTTTATAAAATTACAAAACAATCTATTGCTTCTAAGCATTTGGGCCTTAGTGAAGACAAGATTTGTTAAGCTGATTTTTGGGTTCATGGTCTTGGTTATCATCGTGGATTTGAAGAAGATTTTTTGGGGATCAGGAAGGACAAGGAAAATGAGGTTTTGGAGTTTTTCTTTTGGGGTTATCATCAATAGTCTTAGTTTTAACTCTCAAATACTATTCGTTATTTTCAGCTGAAGTCCATCAAAGTTGTTCAGCATCCTATGCATCTTATCCTAACCACTGGGAAATTATAATATTCCTAGATTATAAAAGGGTTGGGATTCAGTTAGCATAAAAACACTACAAAACTTGTTCGAGAGATGTCTTTGCTCTCTCAGAGTATTTTGCAGTTTATTCAAATCAAAACTGAAATTAGCTGACGTTTGCTTTTTATCTTATACATCTTTTAAAGCAAGTCTGATTTAGTGCATCAAGCTCGGAAAGTTATAATGTTATTCATGAGCAATTGCTTCTCTTGCTGATTTTACAGTTTACAGGAAAAATATTTGCAAACCTGATAAGATATTTTCATTTTAATAGGTACTTCTCAAAATTTCATATAAGGCTTAAATAATCTTATGGACCTCTTAGAACACTTTTTAGTACAGCCTTACTTTAGACATTTATGAGAACTGATGGGAAAAGAAACTAAGATGGCCAAGAGGACACCCAACATTGCTTTAGTAACCAAATTTTCTATTTTTAGCATCCAGAAATATCTATTTTTAATACCTAACTGATCATAACTTTGTATGCAATGAGGAGGTATATCCTGTCTTTTTACTAATTTTGAACTTCAGCCAAAATTTTGAAATATAAATTTTACAGCAAAAATGGAGGTCATAATTCAGGATAAAATTAAGAATATCCGTTATGATTGTCATTATAATCACTTCGCCATGAAGCATAAAGTTAGCCAGTTACAACTTCTGAATTATAACTCCAACTAGTTATACCAGAACTGAAACTGGCGCATCTGAGACTACCTAACCGCAACAATTAAGGCTAAATCACCTCAAAATCAATATGAACACCTCAAAACAACTTTTGTAAAATCTAAAACTCATTTTCTCGAATCTTGGGCATGAGGGCACTGTTTTTACCGCTCTTTCATAATATGAAGCAATTTGATTACCTATAGCTACCATACCACCTTAAACCTTTGTGATAATAAAACTTAGCCAAAAGATCCCAAAAAGACCATCACCCGTCAAAATTTCATAAAAACAGGATAAACCAATTTATTTACCACTTCTCTAATTTTTCCAATATTACTACTATTCCCAAAACTTGAAAAGTATTCTCCCCTATACCGAAGCCACCAATATTTCGTTCCAGAAAAATCCTGCCAGCTTCACTCATATTTTATAACAGAAAACTGTGCTGAAATGCGAACCTGAATTCTAGAAATGTTATCAAAATGGCAGGATTCCCAAAAACAGGGTATCACTATCATTTATAATACCAATAAATATTATTTTGTGTGGCCGAAGTCTTTTCAAGGGGTGATTATTAAAACGGGGTTTTGGGGTTTTGGGGTTTTGGGGTTTTGGGG